GACTTTGCGTTCCTTTAAACAAACGAAATGAACTTAACTTTAAAACAAATCAAAATTCAAACCGCCAAAAAATAATTTGAGCCTGAACAAATTTAGAAGACTTCCTGAGAAAAAGAATCGTCATGACCTTCATAAGAGTCTGAACTACGTTCATTAAATCTTAAACAAAGCTTGTGAGCCGTAACCAAATATATATGTCGTTCGAATCATGATATATGTCGTTCGAATCATGACTGAATGGGATTTAATATAATTTATCACTTAATCCAGTCCAATGATTTTTTGTATCTGATTTCAGCATGAAAAAAAAACACGTTGGACGCCAAATTTTATACTTAATTTGAATGTTCGTAACAAAAACAAAGATATTATTCTAAGCAATTTAAAACAACCATGATTAATACAAATTTCGATACAAGCAAAAAATCAGAAAAAATTTCCCTTCTCGAGATTCGATTATCCACTCTTGGCGTTAGATTCTTATGTTCTGCCAACAGCGTAATATTGCATTGCTTTTTCCACACAATAGCTATGAAAAAACTGCTGCAAGTGTGAAGAGACTTTTTCAAAAACAAACCGTGCAAGTCTCCTGTATACATCATTTATAACGCACACTCACCCACATAACCCATACATAACATTCGGAAACCAAATTTCCATAAAATAATCGTCCAAAAAGGGAAAGTGTATAACTAAACTGATGGTTCCCGTGACCATTCTACCAATTGGAACACTGCACCAAGGTAATAAATAATGTTTCATAATAAATCGGAGCCAATTATTTTACCCATTTCACGGAATGTTGTCAAAGGGAAAAAAAGGTCGAGTGAATGACACTAGCTCCTGCAAGTATTAAGCCGAATGATTTATCTTGTTTTTTCGAGTATAAAAAAAACAAATTGAATTAGCCCATTTTTTTTCACAAAAAAATTAATTCAAAATAACCGCTTGGTTAAACATGCTGCTTCAAAATGGAATTATCATAATAAGTTAAAAATCAACAACTACACCGGCGTGTAAATATACAAAAATACAACTTGTATAAATGAAAATGAATAAAACAATGCTAATATTAGATATGAAAATAATCTCGAAAAGAACTAATGGATCTGTCAATAGGAATTTTTCGTGTATTTATATTTTAAAAAACTTAAATTCGAATTTAAATTTTTGTTTAGCTTTAACTTTTCGCACCATACGTTTAAATTGTTCCACTAATTAAAATTATTTTTTACTACAGATTTCTTTCCCCAATTTGTTTTTAGGAATCTGTTTTGTTTTATTTGTTTTTTTGTGCGCTCGTTTGGTTTCACAGGTACTCTGTTATAGATGAACTGCCTACCAATTTCATTTTTCATAAAAATTTTCACGCCATCGAACATTCTAGCCAAGCTATGCTGGGTAATGAAAAGTTCGGCTGCTAAGACCTTAGGCTTGAGAAGTAGATCTCGTGCATGATTACAAGATAGCACACTTTGATTCCCGATTAGTTTGTCTGTTAATTCTGTTAATCTGAGACATGGGTAGAGTTTGAAAAAATGCTGAGCTGAAAAAAAAATGTGAAAAAACTGATGATCTAAAATGCGTAATTCTTGTTTCTAATGGTACCATGTGTCGAACGCAGTATATTGACTTAATTGCAAACAGCCATTTTGCTTAAACATTTATTCAATTCAGCTGAAAAAGTAAGATTGTTGTCCACTAAAACCGCAAGATACCTGGCATGTTCTTTTGCGGGTATTGTTTCTTCTCTTTAAATAGTTTCCTGAAATTATTATCTTCCCAAAGACAATGAGTGCCGTTTTATCAACATTGAGGACAAGTTTATTTTCATTCAAACATTCATGTACTTTTTCTACTGTTTCCAGCATTGAGGTTCTTGGATACTTAATTGAGTTTCCTGTACATAAGATAATTGTATCATCTGCAAATTGACCCAAATTCATGTTCCTGTTGATTTGGTTTTTAAAATCAATTACGTAAAGAATGAAAACTAATGGTCCCAAAACATTACCTTGTGCAACGCCATGATTAAGTGTTATCCAGTCAGAATAGTGATTTTGAAGATTTAAACATTGTTGACGGTCTCTTAAAAAATCCTTTAGATTTGATGCATTTTTGGAAAAAAACCATACATTTCAAATTTTTTCACGAAAATTTCATGAGAAATGGAATTGAAAGCTTTAGCAAGATCTAGAAAAATGCACTTGTTTTTCTTGATTGATCCATGTTTTCACAAATCATTTCGGTTAAAGTGATAACTGCATCAGTGGCAGATTTGTTTTCCTGAAATCCGAATTGGTAAACAATTAATAACGAATTCTGTTTGAGATATTCCATAATTTGGTTCAAAGGCAAGCGTTATTTGTTCAAAAGCAAGCAACGCTTCAAAAATTTTATAAAATTTTGGCAAATCAAATTCTTAAGCTACAATTTTGCGAAATTTGGTCTGTTGTTATTCAGAGCAATATTTGCTCTTAGAAAGCGTAAAGCGCATTTGAAAACCGTGCTCAAACCAAATCAAACAATCCTATAGAAACATGGTCCATAGAGTTATGAAGAATCAGAATTCATGCAAACCGGGAAAATAAACAATTTTTTCAAATAATTTTTACAACGGATGTTTCAAAAAACAAATTGTAAACCGAGGAGGAAAGCACCATAAATTATAGACAAATAAATTGACCAAGCCGACAAAACAAGCCAAAAATTTATAATAAAAAAACGTATAAAAAGATTTAGAACAACAAACCTACCTGTGCAAAGGCAAAATCGTGTTGTGTTATCTATAGACCAAAACAAGGATCCTGGAATTTGTTCAGAGTCAATACCAAAACACAGTTCAATTTCTTGTAGATAGCAATTAATTAAAAAAACGGAAAACGAGCCCAAAAAAAGAACGAAAGCAAAACAAAACTGGGTTATTTTTAATCTGTTTCATTCAAAAAAGTTTTATTAAGAATAACTTACAAAATGCAGTAAGAATATTGTTAAAAGAACTGTTTATAACATTACTTATACCTTTTGGAAACATCACGTTTCTTACAGATTTGTAAGAAAGTATTATGAAAAAATTGTCTAGTTCCCGATTACAAGACATTAGCTCTCGAAATTGTAATTATCCCCTCAAAGCTCTTTCCATTTGCAAAGAACAAGCATAAAAACCTTGTTAAAAAAATTGGATATAGTTTCTGTGTAAAACAGCTGAATCATCAAGAAAAATGCCTGCTGAGGAAACTTAGCCGAACAAAAGCAGCTCGATAAAGAGCAATAAAAAAAGTAGAAATAAGCCTCGAATTAGTAAAAATTCGGCTACCTCTAGGATTCGATCTGTAACCCAGAGATTATGAGACTCACGCACCAACGGTAGCCGTGAATCTCATAATAACTCATAATACTATGAATTTCAATTGAACTAAAAAAATGCATCATTCCTACGTGCATCAAGATTTTAAGACTTATATAAGAGTATTAAGACCTATATAAGAGTATTCACAACATTCATTACTCTCAATAACCTTCGAATTTTAAAACGATAAATTCCCAAAGTTATGAGCAGATATCTTTTTTTCGAGAACTTCCTGATTTGATGGCATTTAGGCTTCCTAATCTTAACTGCATTTTATAAAAACGGTTATTGTTGAACGGTATATAGACTACAAAGCCCTTGAACCAATATAATACACCAGTTGACAAAAAAAAACATACTGGGAAAATTGCGCATATCCTCATGATTTCAACTATTTTCGCCAAAAACAATTAGCTTAAGACAGCAATTCACTCATAAATTAGCCAGTGAAATTTCGAAAAATCTAACCCTATGAAAAAAAAATGAAAAGCTCACTTTTTTAAAACTGTTTTTTTTTAAACACTTTTTCAGTATGTTATAATAACGAACTTGCCATTAGAATACTGTAAGAATTTTCATTCTTTCAAAAGACTGTCCGAGTTGATTTTGAGCTTTCGACACAACAAGGAAGCTGCACTTCGCAAACGCAAGTGGGAAACGGCAAAAAGAAGATCTGGAAAGGCAAAAAGGAAGGAACTAAAAGAAAATGCATAGGGTAAATAAGCCGAAAGAATTAAGGCCGACGACCAATAAGCTGAAAATTATCCAAAACTATTCAGAAAAAAAATCACCTTACAAGAAATCACCACATACAAAACAATCACGAACCCTATATAAGCGGCGCATGTTAGATGTAGGCGGTACGGTACATTCAGGGGGCGGATCTAGGATTTTCTCGAGGGGGGGGGGGGGCGGATTTTCAAAAAATCTTTCGAAAATTTTGGCGACCTTCCCAGCTCTCCTAAAGCACTAAAAAGACGCTGTTTTGGCCCAATTTTCGCGCCGGAGGCAAAGTTTTGAAAAACAGGTCAAAAAAGCCGTTAATGGGCAGTTTTTAGAAAATTTTAAGAGAAAAATTGCGTTTTTTTTGGCGCGCGCTTCTTCTCAAACTGAGTATATATTGGCGCCCAAGGCGCCTTTAGAAAAATTTTAGGGTCGATCTGCCAAAAATGGATTTCTTAAAAAGTACCAAGAGGGTCGAATCCCTGAGGGGGGGGGGGGGGGGGGGGGGCGTTTTCACTGACCATTCTGTGAACGAAGTTATTTACGGAAAAGTCTAGTACCCCGTTGCAACCTTGCTTATCGCAAGGGCAAAAATCTTTAGAATTGAAACTTAAGTCAAAACTTAATCCAAAATAAGAAAATGTTTCGATAGTTTATTTTTTCATTCCCTGGTAATTTATACACTCGTTTTTCTAATTAAAATTTTAATCAGTTTTGTTTTGAAGAGAGCAACCTTGGAATAATGAGAAAGAAAAAATTCTCCAACGAAACCATTTGACACATGATTTAAAATTCGCAAAGTTCGGTAACTATTAAAAATAAGCGCAAAAAATTCAAACAAAACTCACTCACGAAAAAAACACGAACTTAGTAAGCTAGCACTCTCACTTTTCATTGACATTTAAAAATAAAGACCACTACCATTCAAACGTATATTTATGAAAACGCATCAAGTTATTTAGATTGTTCATTATGCAACAAGCATGAGTAAAATTAACATCAGAGCAAACGAAAAGTTTTCAAAGTAGAAGGATGATGTCACCGTTCATGTTTCGGAGATTTCTTCGTAGCGGGAGAACTGCTTCTGGATCTTCTGGTCTTCAAAGGTTTGCTTACATTAGCTGACTGCGGAAAGACACTGTGATAATTTGTGAACTGAATGAAAGCGGCATCTATCTCACGCCCTGAAAAAACGAAGGTTTTGACAGAACTCATACATACCTAATACACAAGTGTTATCAGAAAATGTCTTGTTATCACTTCAGATGTGGCTTGTAGTCAAAAGTAATAGAAGAAATAGTCCAAAAACTATAACTGTTTCCTATATAATCAAAAGGAAGTAAATAATACCGAAAGCAATACTCATGCACAGAAAAAAAAACAAAGAAAGAACATTTGAGAATAATATAAAAAATGGTTACCTGAAAATTCTTTCTTGTGCAGTGCGTTCACTGCTGCTTCTCCTTGAGCTATGGAAACACTCTTGACGAAAATATTTCCTTGAGGTGAGTCTTTGTCCACATGTACATGCAGTGCACCTCCGTATGGCTTCAAAATCACCAAAACTTCCTCCGTTATGTCATCAATGACCTCTGGTGACATCACTCTACAATACAGCGGGTTGTAAAAAAATCGAACTGACAAAAATATACATGGCCAACAGACAGTTTCTAAAGCGTTAAGGAAAAAGGAAATCCGAAAAAAAAATAATTGGAAAGTTTTGAAAATTTTTCAATTTTCGAATAAAAAACATTTCACGAGAAGCTCTTTGATTTTCAAATAATGTTTTTCATTGGCAGTTTTTTCATAAAATTATCTTATTTAAAGAAAACTGTATCAAAAGCTTTTTAATCCGCTGGGAATTAAGAAATTTAAAATCCACTTTCGAAACTAGAAGTCGATCACGTTTTTCGTGACCTTCTAACTTTTACTAATCGATAGACGAGTTTACCTTCCTTTCAACAAAAGAGATAAAGTGAACTTATATCAAAATCATGAGTCAAACCGCGAAACATCAAACTTTCGTGCGAACAAATTTTAAGATTTTTTTGCTGAATCATGACCTTTAAAAATCATCATTTACGTTTAATTTAATAGAGCAAACGACCTATTATGAGAGAATTAATGTATCGGGGTCAACTAAAAATTTCAGTTGATCAGCAGAAATGGCTCAAAATTGGCAGATTGCTCTTTTTAATGTTATATTTCTGCTCTTAGTTTTGGTACATATTTAAAGCTTAAACAGCTTCAAATAGCAAAGCACGGTCTTACGTATCTAAAAACGGTCTTAAGTTTCAAAAAAAAGCTTCACTCAACAAAATAACTATTTGGAATGTGGGGGAAAATACAACAATTGACTATCCTTATGCACATTTAACAGTTTTTGAAAGAGCAAGATTCAAAAATCCTTCGTGTGGACAAAATTAAACGCAAATTTACGTTTTTACTATAAAAAATGCCTTTTTTCAAGGTCCAGATTGGACAAAATTTATTGGGAATTTCACCAAAACTTTTAGATCAATCTACTGCAAATAAAATACACTACAATCTCTGAAGTTTCATTTTTTGATTTGAATCACTTACCACTTATTTCCAGGTCAGAAAATGCCAGTTTTCACCTTTTGTAATAAATTTTCCAACGGTGTAAATTCTAAGAAACAAGAGAGTTTAGGAAAAATATCACACTGAACAACGAAGTTGAACTCAAAAAGTGCATGAATAACTAAGTGCATTCAATATGTATGAATGCACATCTTTAGTTATTAGATTTTCATGCACATTTTAAACTTTTTCCTGAGAAAAAAAAACAAAAAAATCAGAGAGACCTATAAAAGAGCCTTCACTACTCTTAATATTAACAAAGTCGAAGTACTCACAGGTCAGATCCGAACATGTTGCTCAACACGAGACACTGCGAAGGAATCACTCCCGGTCCAGGTGACCTCGGGGCTAGAAATGCCAGGTTGATGTTGGTAGGCACTGTGGGCATGGCCAGGGCGGGGTCCACAGCTCCACCGGCTACCACGTGACTTGCTCCAGAGAGGATGTTTTTGGCCGAATCAGGGATGTCCATGCCACAGCCTGGAATGAATAACATAAATAAACCACAGAAAGGCACATAAAATGGCGTTTGTTGAAAAAAAATTGATTATTTCTCAAATGACCAAACCGTTCACTTTCAAGTTCAAGTTGCCATTTCAAAAGTTCATTTTCATTTTCAAGTTGTCATTTCAAAAGTTCAATGACATTTTTTCTTGAAAAATTTTAATAACTTTTTTTATCAAAAGCGAAAAGCATAAGCTTGCGGTTATTGATAAGCTTCTTCTGGTCAACTTTTCCGACAAATTTGTCACTTAAGATTTGTTTGCCAGCAATTAATTCCAACTCTTGTTCACATGTTTTCATTCCTGACAAAATGTTAGCATTAGAGAAGTTGATACAAAACGTTTGAATTGCAATAAAATTTCATATTTATGCCATTTGGGAATTATGTCAGTTGGAAAGTTACAAAAAAATTAATAGGCGCATTTTGGAGGAGCAAGATTTTCCATCAATTTCTTGATTTAAATTTTTCCGGCCAAAACGTTCCACTTAATATAATTGAATTTTTAAAGCATTCTTGATTTTAATTTTTTCAGCTTATATATTTTAGTTATAATATCATTTTAGAGCAATTTGAGTAACTTAATGATCAATGTGAGTCAATATCGATTGACAATTTATGAAAAAAAAATCATTGGAAAAAATTTTTTAAAAAAGATCATTCGGAAAAACCTAGCTTCCGAAATCTTGATTTCAGCTGAAAGAAAAAACATTTTTTATTTACTCAAATTCAACTTTTTGTTCAAAATCGATAATTTTTTTTAACGTACAGAATAAAATTCTATCATTTAATTTGCTGTTAGCATTACTGTGAGCCATATCATTCACACCCACTTTTAGCTAATTTGGCCATGAGCGATATTCTGCCAGTGGGTCCCAGTTCTATGCCTCTTCTGTCCATGTCTTCATTGTCCAGAGAGGGCGTGCCCAGCAGGTTGGGGTCATTCACCAGGGACACCCTCAGTTTGCGACCCACAAGGGTGAAGCCATTCAGCTGACTAATCGCTTTTTCACTCGACTCTTTCTCGTTGAACTGAAAATGAAACGATCATGATGCGATTCAGAAGCGACGAGAAAGTAAAATAAAACAATTCAAGGAAGCAAACAATCAAGTTTTATCTCGAGGAAAGGGATCAGCCATACAATATCGTGGCCAATTATGATTACTACACAGAAAAAACGTGGCTAATTATAATTATTACACAGTGTCGAAGCTGAGCTTCGCACCACTTGCGATACAGAAATTCACTAGATCCACTAGGTTTTTATCAAAACAGCTAAATTTTGGTAGGTAAAAACTAAACACCCAATTTACATCAACCTGCTTACACTTGAATCATCGCAAATTTAAAAAAAAAACAATACAGAATGAGAGAAAAGCATTCAGTGTAATAGGAACAAATAGCGAAAAAATACTAAACGGCGGGGGGGGGGGGGTAAATCTAATACCCGGTTGCAATACCCTTTATTATGGCAACGGTAAAAATTGATTAATTATCCAAGTTCTGCGATTCGCAGAGGCTCTAGGAAAGGCTATCCAGCCTGTCTGAGCATAGCCCGTTTCTCTTAATTGCCCAAATTCCAGACTCAGGTAACTTGTTGAGCAATGCTTTGTTTGCAACTAAAGGCCGTTTTTTGCGTTCAGAACTTCAAGTTGTATCACAACTGCAGCCGAAAACGGTCAGGATGTGGTCAAACTGAAGCTGGAGGCCAAGTGAGAGCTCGCCTTCACACATTTTCATTGCCATGGCAGAGGATCGAATACACGATCTGACCATCTTAAAGTGAAATCGAGAGGGTGTGAGTAGTATGCATATAGTGCACTAGGATCGGGGGGGGTTGTCATACATGGATGACCATTAGGTATAAATCATAATGGTCACCATGTATTAAATGATCAGCAATGGTCACCATGTAATAATCCTAATTGTCACCATGTATAATTTTATACCTAATGGTCACTATGTAAAAATCCTAATTGTCACCATGTATAATTTTATACCTAATAGTCCTCATGTAAAACTTCGGTATATTATTGAGTATTCCCACTGAACGTTGTGGAAACGGGAATGGAATTAGGTTTTGGTCGGTGCATGTTTTCCCTTCGAAAGTTTGGGGGTATTGGTTTGTTTACATGTAAAATGACGTTATATACCTATTATATGCGACCAAACTATCTGGTATATAGGAAAGCACAAGATTTTGGCAGCGTAGCTTAACTGTTGTCTGCGGTGACCGATTTCCTTCAAAAATGCATGTTTTATTACTGAATCTCGAAGAAAGCAAAATTCGTCAAGTGCGGCGGCCGCCACCTCTATTTAGGCAAAAATCAATTTGACCAAAATAAGAATGAAAAATTACTTTAAGCCAAATGAAGCTAAAAAATAAGGAAAAATTACGAAACACTGAAAACTCTAAAATAATGAAATTGGCTTGAAAATTTCGACATTTCCATTTTCCGTGTCTACAGGAGACTGAAAAATAAACGTCTGAAATCTATGACAAAAGCTTTGATTTTATAGAAAGATTGATAGAGCTAAAAGGTTGAAGTGTCTAAAGATCTTGAAAAACGAGAACACTGATGAAAGCCAAAAGTGCCCATTAATTTTGCTGCAATCATTTCTAAGACTTGTACCTAACTTGTTACTATAAAATTGAAGTGGAACAAAATTTCTTGGGGTCCGAGTAGAGGAAAACGCATGGCGCTCGACTCTCAGCCGAAAGGCGGCGTTTCGAAACCCGTCCGGAAATTGTACTGAAAGGAGGCAACAGTTGCTGGTATGGTGATATCCCCCCATAGATCGATTTTGTACTTTTTTTCTCACTTTGATAAAAAGCTTAACTTCTCGAATTACTGCTATTCAGTTAACAATTGGGTAAAATTTCAACTACTAAAAGAATGTATTGTTCAAAATTAAATTGTAAAATGTATAAATCAACCATATTAAATGGTTAGTTAATGGGTAAGCATGTGAGTTAGGAAACGTTTCAAAACATGATCAGTTATGTAAACAAAATCAGAAGCATCACCATTAAAGTTTTTATCAAAAATCAAATGTGCAATATAAATACAAAAAGAACCGCACATGGTAGAGTTTGAGTCTTGCATGGGAAAGTTTGTCATCAATTCAGTCACTTGATGAAAATTCTCGTTCAATCGTTTATACAGATTGGTGTACTGCCAGAGAGGAAGACCGAGAGGATCAGCGAAGTATAAAACATTTCTTCTGTTGCATATCACAATCCAATGTGTCCCCGGAGAATCTGATTTTGAAGTGTTCACAATCATAAAGATGTTGTTTGGGATGTGAGGTGGAAAATTGTCGGCTGCAAATACTCCAAAAAACTTATATTTCAGATGTTTACAATTCTGAATGAGGTCCTGCAACTGGATTTCATCCATTTTCAGACTGTCGAAATGGGAAGGACGTTCTTTGTAACTTTGCGGTCGGAGGTAATAAATACATTGGATGAGCGTATACCCCAAACAAAAATTTCCAGGTTTGCTGTCAAAGCGTTTGAGAATTGAAGATCGAGTGAAACTGAGCAGTTAGTAAGTTCTGGATGCAAGAAGTCATGAGCTGCCTGCTGTGTGCTAGTGAGATCAAAACACATAATAAAGTGCTGTTGGTAGTTATCCAGAGTGATTCCCAGCCCGCAGTGCAACAAACCCAGCGCTGATAGTGTGTTGAAGAAGAGACGTTTATGATCTTGTGTACTGATTGGTGTACTTGCTATTGGTAAACCATTTCGTCTCAAAGTAACTTGCTCCAATCCAAATTTTTGATAATGAAAAGGATTCGTTCGGTTTGTTCCTAGAAATGCATTATTTGTGTTCAATGCTATGATAATTTGTCTCACCGGTTCACGAGCAAAAATATCTTCCTGTTGCCAGCTGCGCTGACCAGCTGTTGCAAGAAATGTTTTTGTAATTTCTTCTTGATATGGGTAGTTCGCAGGAGTTTTGAGCAAAGTTGATTCAATGGCAGAGAGCACATGGTCAGTCACAGTCATTTTTCTAACATATAGGTTCGCTTCGAGTATTTGCAGCTTGTAATGCTTGGCAGCATCTTCCGATATAATGAGAAAGTCTTCATGAGAACGTCTGTAGGAAAGTCTGAGGGTAACACCGCTCAACAAATGCTTGTCACATGTGAAAAAATCAACTCCAGCGGGTCCATAGAACCAAATTTCCCTCGATTCACGGACCAGTTCTCGTTGAGATGTGAAATCAGCTGCATCGATTGCAGCGGGATTGTTTTCAAAACGATATCCCTGACACTTAAGCCATGAGTCCTTGGCTCCTTTGCTGTTAGAAACTTCTGTTCCAATAAAGCTTTTATGCGCAAAATTACTATTGGCATTTGAGATTTTGAGTCCATTAGCAGAGAGGGTACAGTCAGAGAAAAGGGAATACAGGGAGTTGTTTACGAGGAACGGTGAATCAGACACAGTAGGATCAGTGTTGTCGTATCGCAGATCAGCTCCACTTGATTGCGTTACTTTGCATCGTATTTCCAAATAAATTTTTTGCAGGTCAACAAAATTATTACGGTCACCGGTGATTTCAAATTCAAGCATTGGCCCATTAGGTGAATAAACAGGTCCAATTTTTTGATCAAAAGCGTTTTCAAAAGTAATCAAAAGAGGTTGTTTTTCAAACAAATCTAGAGAGCTATGGGTAGCTTCATTGGGTAACAAATTAGCGATCATTTTTTATGTTTGAGAAAAAATCTGCTCGACTTCTCACTGGTCTGGTTTTTCTTCGAATGGTTGTTTTTCTTTTTCGAGCCCCTACTGACCTTCTTCTTCGTAATCCATTCATTGGTGTCTTTCGACGACGTCGTCTACCACCACCGAGTTGTTTTCTTGCAGTTTTTGTGACAGTGTTTTTCAATGCTTGTTTAGGAGACTTCTTTTTCATAGCGACATCAATTAGTTCTGGCGCTGCACTCATCAAAAGTTCTCTGCCCAGTTTTTTCGCTGCCGGTAGAATAACCCGTCGTGCAAACGGTATAGCAACACGACCAATACCAGCAGCCAAAGCGCCAAATCCACTGCCGCGTTGTCGGTAGTGTCCAGAGAAATGAGGAAGTGAAGCTTGCTTTGCATAATATTGTTCCATTGGTTTTCAATCAAAACGCTTGAATTTTAGAGTCAACACAACTTTACCAGTTCCTGCAAAGGGCACTAGTCTTCCAGTTTCTGTGCGCAACTGTACCGATATTGATTGTACAGATGAAGTGAATAATTTTTTGTAGTCTAAATTAGTGAAGTTTTTTCGATGATTAGGTTCAATGCTGCAGGCACTACCGTTTTTGATGCGTCTATTTGAATCAATGACGCGTAGCAATGGGGCCTTTGCATCACCAACAGTTTGGTATTGAATAATGTCAATATAGACAAAAATTAGACTTGTCCCACTTGATAAGTCATATGGGAAATGAGATTCGTACAGTTCGTTTCCCTCATAAGATGCATCGAAGGAGGGTATCATTTTGTAACCAATGTGATATTCACCGTTCTCATCAAGCTTTGCATTGTAGCCTAACAGACTGGGTATTTGGGGACTTGGGAATGAGATTCCTTCATTTGCGTTCATCCAAATGCTCATGCTATTCGTGATTTCTTGAGGACTCGCATCAAAATGAATTTTGTCTTTGAGTTTTGTTTTTATCTCATTAATCAATTGTTCTATAAAAGTGTACTCTCCTGATTTGATAAAAACTTTTTCGCCATAGTAGGGTCTGGAAATTGTATTCCGATTGCCAGCGTTGGATTTACTGGCTACTACTTCGGATGCTCTGAAGTACGTAAATTCCTCATCAGTAACATTGTTTAATTTTGTGGGGAAAATTATTTCTGAGAGAGCAACTCTCCAATCTCCGTCTAAAGCTATTTCTTCTTTACAAAAATTTCTAAAACTGGCCAAAGTGTTGCCTGGGAAATAATCCATTGATGCTGTTGAAATCAAATGTACAGTAAACTCATCACTGCCCATTTTCGTTATAATCAGCTTCGTTTCCAATTAAA